GTTTGTCTAGAGTGATCTCTAACCTGGGACAGAAGTCTTAAAGGTGTAAACACAGAGCTTCCTTTACATTATTTAAATTACCTTACTGGTTCCAGCCTTTTTCCTTCTAAAAGCATGCTTAAATTTATATTATAAGTTTGGTACAATATTGTTTTTTTCTTTACCTCATCCTGCCATACATCATATCAGTACTGTATACTTATTTCATTTATTTCAACGGCAGTGGGTGAACTCAGTTATAATTTCTCAAAATGACCAAACTCACAAAGAGGTTAAACAGGAAGTAGAAACCAGTTAGATAAATGACCCAATATTTAAGAGCATGTGTCTGTGACCTTTTAAGCAAACATCCTGAAATTAACACCATCAATAGAAAACAAAATTTGCTTTTCCTTTATTAATGTAAAATGTAAAACATGTAATTTAGTGATCTCTGTCGGTCAGTCGTCGAATAGAAAGAATACCTCGTTGGAAATTTGAAAATTTTTAAACAACCAACACTAAACACAGAGAAGACTAATTGGTTTCTTTGTAAAATTTGATTAAATAGTACCTATCTTTCTGTCATCTTTTCTACATTAAACTCAGATACCTTATGAAGAGAGTTTTCAGTTGGCAAACACAGTTATCAGCATGCAGGTTCCATTTCTAAGAGGTTTCTGATAAATCCGGTTTTCCTACCTGATTTCAGTAAAGTGAGACGACCAGAATATCTCAGCAAACTCTCTCTCAAAGCTGCAGACCCAGAACAGCTGGCCACCCTACTGCGACGTCAGAAAGATATCACAGTTTTCTGAAGAATCTGATGAAAAACAAAAGCCCAAATTGTTTTGATTCAATTTAAATTCTGTAGTTAAGGTGAAATAATTCAAAAACAACTGCTCTCAAAAGTAAGTATCAAAAAAATAAAAGTTAAAACCAACAGAAATGCATTTTTAAAAAGTACAAATAAACCCATAAAGCAATATTTGACAGTAAAAATTATTTTTTTATTTAAATGAGCCAGCAGATTTCACACGTCAAAGGTTTTTAGGGAGTTTGTTTCTTAGCAGGGCAGCAGAAAACTCGAACTGAACCTGTTTAGATCTGGCTCTGCTAAACAGTAAGAAGCTTCTGTTCATTCTGAACAATAAGCTCTGAATACATTGAGACCTAAGACTATTTAGAGCATTATAGACTGTCAAACAGATACAAATTATGTTATTTTTGCTGTTTAGATGTGATTAATTTTGCTGCTGTTGCTTAGCTCATTGGCAGCAGTGTTTGGATGATAAATTGGTAGACAGATCTCTATAGAAACCATTACAGTAATCTACCCTACCAATCAAATTAACTTGCAGAAGCAGATTTTAGCTCCACCAATCAGGTTATGTTTTCGCTCTTTTGTTGGCTGGTTTGTTTGTTGGCTTGTTAGGAGGATTACTTGAACAATTTAGAACAGATTTTAATGACATTTTTACCAGAGGTGCGGCTCATACCAAGAAATTATTATAACTTGTTGATGTGCTGCTTTTGTGGAGGCCTGCGCTCTCTGGCTGCTTTTCTAGTTTGTTTCTTGTTTTTAGAACAAAACCTTCTTTTCGTTGGATGTAAAATAATTGATAAATATAATTCATAGTAACATAAAGTAGTATTAAAATATATTAAGATAATAAGAGAGGACCAGAGGAATTCCCCCCATCCCCCGTCCCATTGCCTTCCCCTTATCTACAGTTTACCAATCAGGTTAACAGGGTTAGAAGAAAAAAACCACATCCCTCTCTTTAGAAACACATTTGAGTTCATCGTGGATATTCAAAAAGATCACAATGCAGATACAGTAAGGAAAATAAGTATTTGAACACCCTGCTATGTTGCAAATTCTCCCGCTTAGAAATCATGGGGGTTCTGAAATCGTCACCATAATCTAAAAAAAATCCAGAAATCACAATTTATTATTTTTTGACTATTTATTTGTGTAATACGGCTGCAAATAAGTATTTGAACACCTGTCTATCAGCTAGAATTCTGGCCTTCAAAGACTTGTTAGTCTGCCTTCAAAATGTCCACCTCCTCTCCATCCGTTATCCTAAATTAGATGCACCTGTTTCAGGTTGTTAGCTGCATAAAGACACCTGTCCACCCCATGCAATCATTAAGAAACCAACTACTAACATGGCCAAGACCAAAGAGCGACTAAATTGTGCACCTCCACAAGGCTGGAAAGGGCTATGGGGAAATTGCTAAGCAGCTTGGTGGAAATAAAGGTCCACTGTTGGAGCAATCACTGGAGAATGGAAGAAGTTAAACATGACTGTCAATCTCCCTCAGGACCGGGACTCCATGAAAGATCTCACCTCCTGGGGTCTCAGTCATCCTAAGAAAGGTGAGAAATCAGCCCAGAACTTCACAGGAGGAGCTGGTTAATGACCTGAAAAGAGCTGGGACCACTGTTTCCAAGGTTACTGTTGGAAATACATTAAGACGTCATGGTTTGAAATCATGCATGGCTCGGAAGATTCCCCTGCGTAAACCAGCACATGTCAAGGCCCTTCTTAAGTTTGCCATTGACCATTTGGATGATCAAGAAAAGTCATGGGAGAAAGTCACAGGTCAGATTAGACCAAAATAAAACTTTTTGGTCATCCACTTACCGTGATCGGAGGAAAAAGAATTAGGAATGCCATCCCAAGAACACCATTTCTACTGTGAAGCATGGGGGTGGTAGCATCATGCTTATGGGACAGAGCGGCTGCACTGTATTAAGGAGAGGATGGCCTGGTCCATGTATTGCAAGATTTGGGGGAAAAACCTCCTTCCCTCAGTTAGAACATTGAAATTGGGTCGAGGTTGGGTCTTCCAACATGACAATAACCCAAAGAACACAGCCAGGATAACCAAGGAGTGGCTCTGGAAGAAGCATTTCAAAGTTCTGGAATATTGTAGCCAGTTGTGTAGACCTAAACCCAATAGAGAATCTTTGGAGGGAGCTCAAACTTCGTGTTTCTCAGCAGCAGCCATAAACCTGAGTTATCTAGAGAAGATCTGTGTGGAGGAGTGGGCCAAAATCCCTCCTGCAGTGTTTGCAAACATGGTGAAAATCTAGAGGGAATGTTTGACCTCTGTACTTACAAACAAATGCTACTGTACTAAATATTGACATTGATTTTCTCAGGTGTTCAAATACTTATAATATACAAAAATATAGTTAAAAAATCATTCATTGAGATTACTGGATTTATTTTTAGATTATGTCTTTCACAGTGGACATGCACCTACGATGACAATTGCAAAATTGAAAAATGGCAGGGTGTTCAAATACTTATCGTCCTCACCGTGTATAGCCATTAGCTTACATAAAGTCTGTGCTTGAACAGCTCAGTCTAAATTCATGCCTCCAAATGCAGAAAAGAAACATAAGAAACAGCTGAAAGTCCTCATTGCCTAGAAAGAAAGCCTAAATCTAACTTTAACGCAAGATATTTCCACAAAATGTTATTGATGTCCAACAGATTGGTGTTGACTGTCATTATTAGGTCTGTCTTTGTGTTTAATGCGTGTGTGTGTGGCTGTAGTAGTATCAGATTGTAGCCACGCATTTGTGGCTGAGCAGCCGTGCATAAACGGCCCGGCTAATGAGGAAGCAGAGGGCAGACGTCTTGGATTGGAAGAAGAAGAGAGTAGCCTTCAGGTGGCCAGTAAAAGGTCAGGTCGGTTTATGTAGAGCTCCAGAAAGAAGGTGTTTCACCAACATAGAGACACGTTTGAAGACGAGCTGCAAGAACCTTTAACAAGCTCATGGTAAGACCTTCTCCTTCTTCTGTCTTTGATGTAAAATATTGTCGATATAGCCTGATATGCTGATGTTTATCTTACTATGAAGAAAATGTAATAAGCAGAAAAAGCCTGAAAATATATTACACTTTATAGTTTTATCCTCCAAAAGTGGTTCTCCTTTATCATCATTTCTTGTTACATGTTTAAAAAAGAGTTCACAGTTGTCTTGAAGGTTTAATCCATACATTTAATAGTTGCATACAAAATTTACTTCAATAATTTCTTATTTATTTTCCCTCTATGTCTGAAAGCCCATCTCAGGTGATCTATAGCAGAGGCACTAAAAGTCAAAGGTCAGGAATGAATTGTCACTGCAAGAATACAGGATGTAACATAAATATTTAAAATGCATTTTATATGAGAGGTTTTCAATTTGCAAGCCCTTGTGGACAGTATGATTAAAATAGTAAAGTATGAAAGAACCTGATTTATTATTGATAGGATTATGAAAGCCAATAACTATGGCTGACTACATTATTGATCAGGCCAGACAATAAGCTTCCATAATTTGCACGGTAAGGTTTTGGGATTGTGTTGAGGGTGAGAATATTAGCGGACACGATAAATGGGAATAATAACATTTAAAAGTTTAGCTTTTTTAAAGCCGAGAATCTAATAACAGAAATGTAGAAAATACTGCTAAATGGCAGAAACAAAATTCAAGATTGTACACTCTTAGGCGATTAATGCTTAACATAATATGGGCATTATAATTCCTGTAAAACATAATCTAAATACAGAGCAAAGACAATTTCTAATATAAACTTATTGCATATTAAATATTGAATATAGCAAGAAAAAAAAAATCATTCGTAATTGTATTGATAAACACTCTATATAAATCTGCTGCACTCTGAAACAGGGGAGGGTTAGGAGTGTTAAATGTGTTAAATAAAGTGTTAAATCAAAACATCACGTATTGCATTGATAAACACATTAAAACACGTCACTACAACGGGTGAAAATAGCTGCTGTGATACGAGAGTTGAGCCCCAGATTCTGTCCAACAGCGGAATAAACGGCTGATTAATGCACAACATACTCATAAAATCAAGCACATTTTAGCTCACATTTATTGCAGTTTAATTACTTCATTTATGAAGTTTTACATATATTTTACCTAATATTCAATGAGAAATTGCCACTGCTAGATTATAAAGTATTTATAAGAAGTAACACAAAGTAATATCAGGTGTCAACATACATTAAGGCATTATAGTACAATAGTACAACAGAACTTTTGTAGATTTTGTTACAGTCCTGCAGAGGATAGTGAGGGGACCTGTAAAGGAGTGTCCCAATCTGTGTCTGACCCTGTAGAGGAACGAGGCACTGAACATAATCAGATAAATACACACTGTACCTTCTTTGTTCTCCTTTTAGAACTAGAAGGTATCGTCACATTGAAAGTAGAGCAACCAGACGATATGCGTTAAACTTCAGACTAAAATTTGTACACCTGAAGTCGGCACTTTTAAAGACTTTACAATGCTAAATTGGACTAATATATAAAAAAAATAATTAGTTTGAAAGTCCCTAAGCAGACCATTTCAAAGCCTCATGGTGTTAAAATACTAAACATCTGGTTAGAGAAGAGGTTCCGCTTATGAACTAGTAAATAGCACTGGAATGCAGACTGGTGCCTATCTCTAGCTGTCTATGGGCGAGAGGCGAGGTACACCCTGGACAGGTCACCAGTCCATTGCCCTACAACACAGAGACGAACAACCTTTAACACCTACAGGGAATTTAGAGAGGCCAATTGGAAGGAAGCTGGAGTACCCTGAGAGAACCCACACATTCTCAGGGAGAACATGCAAACTCCATGCAGAAAGACACTGGCTGGGAATTGAACCCAGAACCTTTTTGATGCAAGACAGCAGTGCTAACCACTAAGCAGCCCATGACTCAAACTATTTGGTTGAAATATGAATATTTCTAAAACATCGTTTAATCTTTGGGTAATTAGTAATAAAAACAGCATCAGCAGCCAACGTATTTAGTTCTGTCCATTTCTTGGCGATTTTATTTGTATCTTAAACACATAATCACAATTCATAATTTTAAGTGATCCTTTAATTTCTGTAAAGGCTCTCAAGACCCTACAATGGTCTTGCGTAAGTGTGCTTATAATACTTGATGTTTTCCGTCTAATTAAGTTTTATTTGTCTGACTATTTCTAAAACTAAAATCCTAAAAAATACTATTAGCTCTTCATTGAAATGACAATAGACACATCTGATATAAGTAAAAGATCTGCTTTTGTTGGCATGAAACCAAGGAGACAAAAGCTCTCTAAAATGTCTCCTACGTCCCTTCCTGTCTTCCAGATGTCGTGGCCGCCATCTTTCCCATGCTCAAAGTTTCGTCACGTCTTTGGAAAATCAGCCACCAAGGAACACAGCTATGACGGAGTGCCAATCAGCAGAAGCGTCCATGATAACCACTACTGTTCGGCCAATCCCTGCTTCATTGCCGTGGTGACAGAGTGTGCAGGGGGCGGGGCGTTTCTAGTCCTGCCTATTCATTGCGTATGTAGGTTCAAATCGTTCTACTTCATGAGGATATCTCTAACCAGCATTACTGCTATTTACTGCTAAATCATAAAATACCAACCCTTGAGTTTGCTTATGACACGTCCGACCTTCCTACTGTCTAATGTCCAAAGAAAAAGAGCTTGAACAAAGCCATGAGAATTTTAAATGATTTATTTGATCAAATGTCATTTATTGCAATTTTTTAAATGTTGTATTTCAGACGGGCAGAGTGGACCCTCAGTATCCAAGGGTTTGTGGTCACAGTGGTAGAGTCCTCGATGTCAAGTGGAACCCATTCGATGATTACTGCATTGCCTCATGTTCAGAAGACAGCACTGTAAGATGGTTTTCTATTGGTACCTTGGACCTCTTCCTCTAAAGCAGGGGTGTCAAAGTGGTTCCAGAAATTGCCGTGTGGCTGCAGGTTTTTCTTTCCAACCAAGCAATAGCACACCAGACTCCTGTCATTTCATCTACGTAGTCATCATGTTCAGATTGGGCTCACTTGATTAGTTCTGGAACCACTTTGACATCCCTGCTCTAAAGGTTGAATTTGATTTAGACTTCTTTCATCAATAACCCTACAACAATTGTCCAGTCAGTAGAAATGACAATGCAGTGCACAAAAACAATGATTTCTGGATGTTTGCAGGTAAAGATTTGGGATATTCCAGTTTGCGGAGTCCAACGGGACATCACCAAGGCCAGAAAGACTCTGATGGGTCATTCCAGGAGGGTGGCTATCATTGAGTGGCATCCAACTGCTGAGAACCTGCTGCTTAGCTCTGGCTACGACTATAAGGTCACATGGATATTTTAACAGTAACACAGTTGGGCAAATATATTAAAACAGTTTCTGTCTTTCTGTTATAAGCCACAAATTAAAGGGCAACAGTTGCGTCGGGTGTAGGAGTTTTCCCTGAAATTGAAAGGTTGACAGTTCAAGCCATGGCTCTGACTTTCAGTGTCGTTGTGTCCTTGGGCAAGACACTTCACCTGCATTGTCTACTGATGGTGGTCAGAGGGCCCGGTAGTGTACGGCAGCCTCGCTTCTGTCAGTGAGCCCCAGGGCAGATGTGGCTACAATGTAGCTTGCCACCATCAGTGAATGGATGAATGACTGAATGTAGTGTAAAGCGCTTTGAAGTCTCCTGACTTAAAAAGGCGCTATATAAGTACAGGTTTTGCAAAATATTAAACTGCTGGGAAAACCCCGTTCCAAAAATAACTTATTAATTTGCACCAATTAGGTATGTTGAGACTAGAAAAGCTATTCTTATCGACCAGCTAATACCATCTACTATTAGTTTTAATTATACATACGTCTACAGGGATCAGGATGATTCCTAAAAACAGCATCCCTAAATAAAGAAGGCTTTAAGGTTCATATATGTAGTCAAGATAAATATGATGTGAGCACTGGAAAAGAAATTGAAATTCCTTTTTTGTGCACAGATTTGGCAAATAAAGTTTATTCTGATATAGAAGTAGGGGCTGCTACTAATCAATGCTCGCTTTTAAGGTTTTGAAATGAGTTTCTGGCATGAGCTGACAATTGGTGATATTAGCCACTATTTTTGCCAAGATTCACATCATAAGTGCCATAGAAGGGTTGCTTTGATTAGCTTAACCATTAGTTATGTCAATTTTCTAAGTGTCTTTATCTTTATTTGGATGTTCATTTTCACCTACTTTACGATACAGTGTAAAGTAGTGTAAAATGTTTTGGAGTATTGGACTAAATTGTTTTGATTCTCCTCTTTTGCAGCAGATTGCACAACAAGCTAGTTATGTACTTTTGATTCATCCATCCATTATCCGTCAAGCGTATTTCTGCTGGGGTGGCGAGGGGTGCTGGTGCCTATCTCCAGCTGTCAATGGGCGAGAGGCGGGGTACACCCTGGATGGGTCGCCAGTCTATTGCAGGAAAACACAGACACACATCTAAGGAGAATTTTTAGAAAAACCAATTAATCTAAAAGTCATGTTTTTGGACGGTGGGAGGAAACTGGAGTACCCGGAGAGAACCCACACATGCATAGGAAGAACATGCAAACTCCATGCAGAAAGACCCCGGACCGGGAATCAAACCCGGAACCTACTTGCTGCAAGGCAGCAATGCTACCCATTAAAGTTAGCAGTAGCTACTGATGAGGTTAAAATGAATTAGAGAGGCTAGGCAAATTAAAAAACATTTATCATTTATAACTTCTCCTTGATTCCTTCTCCAGGTTCTACTCTGGGACGTGTCCCAGGCCGGTACAGTTATCAGACATCCGGTCCGTGTGGTCCTGATGCCCGTTCATCACCGCTATCCATCTGAGGCTCTGCTGTTATCCGTCAGCTTCAACAGCGATGGCAGCAGGTTGGCTGTCACCTCAAAAGACAGGAGGATTCGGGTCCTGGAGCCAAGGAGTGGAAAGATCCTGCAGGTTTTCTGTTCAGCATATTAAAGATAGGCTGTCTGTGTCCTTGAAGCTCTATCTCTCCGGATCTTTTTTCCCAAAGAGAGATCAAAACTCTTTAAATAACACTTTATAACTTACATGTATTAAATAACCAGGAGACATGACAATGGATTCTGATAGAAATTGTAATCTTACTCAGAACAGAGAAGTTGCTTAGAATTACAGAAGGCATCTGATTAACAGTTTAAAAGGCATTTTATACATCTCCAGTCTGCCATATCATCACATTTTACATCATAAGTGTCAGCAGATGATTAGACATCCATGGCTCCAGCCTTATCAAAATATTACATTTTGTTCTTAGCTGAAGGACACTGGTCTCAATTCATTCCCAAATATTTGCCACATACAGAATGAAGATTATAACTACCGTATATCTAGACAGAGGAACTGTCTTAATTAGATAAACTATGGGGAAAACATCAGTTCTGACATGCAACAGACAGGTGTAATAAACTCACACATCATCAATGATAATTATCCTAACAAGGAGTTTAATGTTCAGGTGGTACCGTTTGGTTTTACAGGTTTCCAGCAGTAAAACCCACAGGGCGAACAAGGTGTTATACATCAGAGGGTTGAAGATGCTTCTGTCCACTGGTAGCTCGCCCTGGAACCACAGACAGGTCGTCCTCTGGGACCCAGTAAGACAGTCCTATAGAAGCAGCATGAATTATGCCCTCCCAAACAGTTCATGAAATGATAATACCAAACTTCCTTGTGAATTGGCAGGACAGTTTGTAAGTTCTGCCTCCATTTTTATTTTTATTTTTTTGTGCAGGATGATTTATCAGAGCCTCTTTATGAAGAAGATTTGGATGGATCTGCAGGCGTTCTCTTCCCGTTCTATGACTCCGATACGCAGATGCTCTACCTGGCTGGAAAGGTTTTTCCAAATATTAAATATATTCTTTGTCATTCCTGTAGCTGGTTGGATCTGATCACACATGTGCACAATAAAATATTTCACAAGATTCATTTAAATTCTGCCAATGTTTGGCTCTAAGCAATTTTTATATTTGCAGGCCCTTTGCAGGTCCATACAGGAAACCTGAAAAAAATTCTTCTTTAGTAAATTAGAACAACTCATTATTGGCTTTAGATGTTTTGTTTTTATGTGTGTGTGTCTCTAAAATCAAATTCAACATTATTGAGGTATAACTGATTTGGATGCTTTGTACCTGTGCTTATAGGGGGATGGGAACATCAGATCGTATGAGCTGAGCTCTGAAAAACCCTACATCAACTTTCTGATGGAGTACCGATCGCTGCTGCCACAGAAAGGACTAGGTCAGATTATCAAACTCAAAACAATAGATACAATAAAACAAAAGTTTGTTGGCTACTTTTATACTACTTCTACTATTTGAAAAATAATGAAAATAGTTAAGAAATAAAAACACAATAGGTGGTAATAAAATTTCTTGATACTATATAGTATATAGTGAAGGTCTTCAACAGGGGTCCGGGACCCCAAAGGGGGTTCTCGGAGGTACTGCATTGGGGTCGAGAAAGTTTTGGTTGATAACTTTTTATTATATTCCCCTCTGCAATTTTTTTACACTAATTGAAATGTCTTTGATTCCACATTAACATGACTTCAACATACTTTAGTAAACAGATAAATGGAGGCAGAAGATGTCTTTCAGTCATCAATGCACACATTCAGCGACACACAGGAGCTCTTTCAAGCTGGGCACCGTTTCATTCACAACACCTGTCCCATCAACCAGGAATCCGAATCAGAAATACTTTGATAATCCCAGAGAGAAATTACTCCATATGTAATAGAGTGACTATAGGACCAGTTTGATCGAACACAATTTCATACAATATATATAATTAGGGGGTCCCCGCTCCATCTCGCCATCAGTTTGGGGGTCCTTGGCCTGGAAACGTTGAAGATCCTTGGTATATAGACTTTCTATATTCATTGGAACTACAATTAGTGTTGCCAGATTGAACTGATGTCACTAGGTTGGGCTTCTTTTGAACTAATTAAGTTTTATATATTAGTTTTGTGATACTTTTTATAGAATATTTCCAGTTTTACAGAATAACAATAGAAACACAACAATTGACAAGGGAGTTTTTCCTCTCCACTGTCGCTACAAGCATGCTTAGTGTAAGGGATTGTGTTTGAGTCAATGAGTCGATGCAATCACCTGGTTTTCCTTAGATAGAAAACTTTGAATCAATCTGACTGGATGATCTGGTGAACTGTAAAGTGCTTTGAGATGACATGTGTTGTGAATTGGTGCTACAGAAATAAACTGAATTGAATTGATAAATTAATAAAAGTGTTTCAAATGTGTGGGGGGGAAAAGTGAAAAACAAAAAAAAAGTACTTAAACTTATAGCATTAGTTTGTTTATTTTGAAATGTGGATATTAGATTATCAAGAGTCAAGAGTTCAACTAAACTACATTGGTGTTTGAACCTTTACTGTTACTGTTGCGTCATGTCAGAGTGGGAACTAAAAACATATTCAGGCTGATCTGGAGCTAAAATGATGATCCAACGCTTATTTAAAGAATTTAAATCAGAAATTTTTTAAAAGTAAATGGATGCCTTGTTCTTTACTGTGGATTTGATAGGAGCACACTTTTAACAGATAGATTAAGAGAGGTTAAGACTTTGCCATGTTTATTTTATTTAGGTGGGAGGGTTTTAGGTTGTGTTAGTACTGAAAACAGTTAGTTAGATCTGGCACACATTACTGTACATTGCCAATAAAACCCTATACCTTGTTCAAAACCCTAACTAGCGGGGTCTCATTGTAGCATTACAAGTCAATAAATATTTTTTATTTTCCATTTTAGTTATTCGAATCCCTAACATGAATCTGTAAATTGTTAGAACTATAACTGCTCTGTAATCTCCAACGTTTGAAGAAAGAAACTGACTACCAACAGAATTGATTTTTCCAACTTAATGCTAGTTCAACTTCAATTTTTTTCCATATTGGAAAATAATTTGGCTTGATCAAATATTAAAATAGTATCAAATAAACTAAAATAGTCACAATCTATTCAATAAAGGGGTCTAATCCTGGCTAAATTAAGCATTATCTCTACTAGCATCTTATGCTAACTGGTAGGCTAAAGCTAGTTAGCATTATGCTGAAAACAGAGAGGGAATTACTAGTAGATCTAATAGGTTTCCTTGTGCGGACGTGTCCTTGTCATTTAAACAGCTGCATTAGTTAAGAGCTTTTTCTAATTCGACCTTGCTAACAAGCTAATGAAATAATATATTAGCTTTTAGCTTACTAGTGTAACTGGTTAGGGAGCTCACTTTCAGTGTCACGATTCTGGCATGAATATCAAACATAATACTTCCATTAAACCTAAAATGATCTTTTCCTATGTTCTTAAATGGACTTTACTTCTATAGTGCTTTTCCAAGTCAGGGGACTTTAAAGTGCTTTACAACACAAGTTTTTAGTCACACACTGATGGTGGCAAGCTACATTGTAGCCACAGCTACACTGGGGCACACCAACAGGAACTAGGCTGCTGTACATAGGATCCACCCAAGCCCTCTTAACGCTATCAGTAGGAAATGTGGGTAAAAATGTCTCGCCCAAGTGTTGTCGATTTCACCCAGAGTGAATTTGTGAAAAATTGCACATAAGACAGTAATATTGTAATATATAAAAGTGATTAACAGCTGAAAGACATAAAACTACATCTGCAAGAGTTGCAACAGTTGGTCTAATTTCAGATTTTTGTCATAATTTCAGGGGTGATGCCAAAACGTGGCCTGGATGTAAACGCTTGTGAAATTTTCAGGTTTTATCGTCTGATTGCCATTAAGGACCTGGTGGAGCCTCTGTCAATGATCATACCACGCAAACAGGTAGCGATAGTCTCCCGCTGTCTCATTACTGCAGGTGTTTAAAGGTGCAGAAAAACATGGAGTCTGATATTTTGTTCTCCTCCAGTCAGGCGTTTTCCATGAGGATCTGTACCCAATGACAGCCGGAAACAGGGCAGCCTTAACGGCTCACGAGTGGCTGATGGGAATCAACCGGGGTAAGTAACCTGCAGGGGCGCCAAACTGGTGAAAAACATGAAACTGGTTCATGCATTTAGCTATTGGTAGCGTTTTGATCTCGTCATCAGGCCCAGTGCTGATGTCCTTGAGGCCCGATGCTCACGTAGAAAACCCTTATGCTGAAATTCCTGCTGACAGAGGCCAGATAAGGAAGCTGAGCTCCCTCAGGTTCCAGATGGGACCAGCTGATGGGGCTGTGACAAACACAAACCTTTACTTTGTGGAAAAGGTAGGCTGATATATTGCTCAGGACAACCTGGACTTTAAAACTGGAGTTAAAAAAAAGCTTAAAGGCAAACCTGTTGACTAAAATCTTCTTTAAATGTTGTCAAGGGAGATTTTTTAAAAGTCTTCATCTTTTACAACTGAATAAATTATCACTTGCATCCATCCTTTTACATTATGTCACATAACAGCCTAAAAAAATCAAGGGAAATGGTTACAATGGATTATATTTAGGGGTTTCAGAGTAACGGGGGTCAATAATTTGTCATTTTCCTTCCAATTCATGATTATAAAGATAGTGTTGGTCTTTCCAATTAGTTAATTAATTAAAGAGACACTTGAGTTTGTGGCTGTGTAGAAACCAATATGAAGGTCAACAGATAATGATACTTTTACACAGGGGTTCAAGAATGATAGGGATTATTTAGTCTAAAACATAAGATTTCTAGATTTAATTTTACTAAACTGTACTAATTGGACTTAACTGGCTGGAATTGGATATGTAGCTGGATTGATCAGTTGCTTTTAAACCTTTACTAACTGGCCTTCCAAATGAGTTTGGATAAAAACAATGAAGTTATTAAACCTGAAAGGAAAATTCTGATTGTGAACTCCCTTGTACACTTTTGTTTTGATGTTTTCAGGCTTTCTTGGAGGAGCAGCTGGCCTATCAGGATGCCAAATACCCCAGAGATCTGGGGTATCTGGGTGACCTGTCCAGTTGGCAGCCGGATGAGACGGGGTGTCCGCTGTGGTGGTACGGCTGCACCCCACACTGCTGCGAACCTGCAGAGAAACCACCTCCTATGACCGAGAAGGAGGTCTGGCAGAACCTGTCAGATAATCAGATGATGTACTTAAACCCAAAATAAACTCACCTACAGCTTATGTTTCAGCTCCTGCAGACATTTTACAAACAACAGGATGAGATCAGAAGCCTGAAGGAGGATCTGCATCAGAAAGATGTCAGTATGCAAGCAAAGAATTGCATTTTGAATTCCAAGAAAAGATGCAAAACTGACTTTACATTTACTGACAGTTTGCTTGCTTTTTGTCAAGGTATTAAAGCCAGTTTCTCCTGGTGGACTAATTATTCTAGTCTCAGTGTACATATGCAAAATACCTGCTTAGAGAAATGTTTATCTGCTTAAAACGTAGTAATGCAATTTATGTTGTGCTGGGGCTCAAATTTTATTTAGAAAACTCCAAAAAGACATTTTGTATGATTTCCACATCAGATTAATCAGTTTGCTGAAATATTCAGGAGATGTTTTGGGGGAAATGTAAAGTCCGCTTGGCAAAAATCCAAATAAATACAAAAAATAAAACCAACTGCTATAAATATAAAAATAAAAGATTATGTTTAATACCTATGAGGTCATATTGGATTTAGAAAAAACATTTATTGTGAACTTTTCTTGAAGCTAACATTTCAATTTAAAAGTTTCGATATTTCTGACCTGGAAAACACTGCTAATATACAAACTGAATCCTACTTTTCAAAAGGAAAATGTTTCAGCAGCACTATTAACAGAGGACCAACCAAAAACAGGCTTTATCTATCAAAATGGGCTAGTGCTAACCAGTTAGCCAAAGTAGCTACTTTATTTATCTATTTTTTGTGGCTAATGTCTTATTCTAAATAAATAAGGACAAAAAAATTCTTCATTGCTATTACAATAATATGACTCTGTAGATTAATCCACTTCCTTAAAAATGTCCTAATTTGGGCGTGAAGGTGGTGCACAACAAACGTACAGAGGCCTTAGTCCTTGACGCTGGCGACCTTGGCTCTCTCATACCCAATTTCCTGTCGAAAAAACGAGCCACGAGTACCGTAAAACTAAAACAAAGCCCTAATTTTAGCTAACTTACTAGGTTAAACTTAAGGGTCCGAAAAGTGTTCTTGGTGGCCCCCTTTGATTAAGAAGTTTCTAGCTTCCCCTCCAATCAATCAGACAGCAGGAACAATGAAAAGTCTGCAACAGTAAATGCATATATATTTATATAGTTTAGGGATAAAATGACACTTTTATTTTTGCTGGATTAACTTAATCCTTTTTGATTGTGGTTGTTTCTATCCCACAGGTGAGGATTGCTCAGCTGGAGCTGGAGTTAAAGAACAAGAACACCATGAGGGCCACCTTCTGATCCAGTCACATCTATTGATATTGTATATATTACGCTACGTTC